ACAGAGCCTTTTCAGAGCTCTGTGGGCTGCCCTTGCTCCCCACCAGGCTACGAAAAAAGCGGAACATGGGGGAGTGGCCCCAAATTCAGTATCGAGGGGTTGGAGCTGCGCTCTCCATCCTGAGAGGGACCCTGACTCAGAGGGAGGGACGGTAGCAGCCACCCCAGGACCAACTGCTTAAGAACAGGAGGAGTTTTCAAAGTAAAACCTTCAGTTGGAAACTTCCAGGAGTTCTAGAAGGCAAAGGTCAGGCAGTTGCGGAGGGGGAGCATGGGGGGGCATGGTGGGGGATTAGTAGGGGGCAGAGAGGGCAGAGGGTTGTTGAGGCAGGGGAAGGAGGCTTGGGGAGCCAGTCTGGGGGCTGGTTGGTGAGGCTCCAGGAAGTGTGGGGTTGGAGGCGGGCAGCGGACCTGGGCCCTGAGGAGGCAGGCAGGGGCTCTTGAGGACTCGGCACACCCTCTCCCCACCTGGCTTGTCCTTGCCTGTGGCTGCTTCTGTTATTGAGAACCACTGACGATGGCCGGCTAGTATCTGTGTCGCTTTTCCCTCTCCTCTGAGCATTCAGCGTGTATGTGCCCAGGTGGGGAGCACAGACCTTACCAGGTTTTCATCTGTTTACCTGCCTATCACCTTCAGGATTTCTATCTCTTGAGACTACCGAGGTGCCTAGTACATATGTCTTAGCTGCACATTGAATCCCAATTTAGTATTATTATTCCCCACTGCACCTACAGGCTTGATTATAAACCCAGCTTAGTGAGCTTGGGAAGAGTTCCTTAAAACAGCTGAGCCTCAGCTGCTTTTGTGCATCGGTAAAATGGGTGTAGCTGATGAAACCTACTTCCAAGGGTTACTGAGAAGGTTCAATGAGAAGATGGTCACTAAAGTTCACGGCACACAGCGGTGCTTAGGAAACAGCACCACCCTGGCTTACTGGTATTGATTGATGAGAGGAGGGAAGGATCAAGGATCAAGAGTGGGAAAAGCAGTCGGGGAGGAGCTACTCCGCTGCGCGGGCTGAGGTTGTGGGTGGGGCTGAGCCCAGACTGCTAGACGGTGCATCCGGATCCGGCTGCCGCAGAGCAACTTCCTCTGATTGGAACCGGGAGCAGCCGGCGGCTCTATGATCGCCAAAGCCTCTCAGTCCCTAGGGCTGCCCTGGGACGAGTAGAGGCTGCGTCCAGACTCCAGGAATTCACTGACACCCGTTCCTGGAAGCAGGCCTGGGCACCTTCCCCTGGGAACAGCCTCTGGTCCCTCAGGATCTCTAGCTCTTCGCAGCCGAGCCATCCTGGGCCTAGGCTAGGGTCTGGACAGGTAAGCTGGGGGGGCGGGGGTCCTGCCCATCCAACCCACTCTGGGCAACCCTGAGCCCAGGGTGGGGCAGGGAGCCCACCGGAGCCGGGTGGGAAGGAGGAGGCTTTCCTGGGCAGCTTCACCAATCCCTGCCGGGGGCCTGATCCAGCCAGGCCTCCCTCTGGCTGCCCTTTCGACAGCTTCCCCTCATTCCCTGGCCCTGGGCACCTGAGAATCGGGTGCCAAAGAACCAGGTCTGCTAGCAGTCTGGGGGACGGGAGTGGAGGTCAGAGCCAAGGTCAAGAGCAGGGGGAGAACCCTGACGGCGCTTCCTGCTGCCCCAGGAGCCCTGGACCCGGTCTGCAGCCCTGCCAGGCATTTCCCCAGTAGGTAGGGTGCAGGGGACTCCCCTTACCAGGAAGTCAGGAAACTTGGGTGGGGGCAGGGGTAGGCCTGGGTTGGTATAGGCCTCTGGTCCTGGGACTGTTCTGAGATGCTACCTGCTCCCCAGCAGTGAGCCCTGGGTTAGTGGGAAAGGGAGTTGCAGATTCAGTCAGCATCCTCAGGCCGTGTTGTCCTGGGGTGCCGGGTTTGGGGGTCCAGGGGAGAGGCACAGGTATCTTGTTCCTGAAAGCGCTACCAGGATGGGGGTGTGCCTGGCAAAGGTCTGCCTCATTGTTAGAGGGAGGGTCTGCCTTCTCCCTGTCCCTGCCCTGAGTGGAGGGGTGGAGAGCTGAGCACGCTGGGAGCCCAGCCGGGAGCCCAGCCCTCCCCCACCCCCTCTCTGTCCTTGGGGCATTTTCAACAATGGCCCCAGGCCTGAGAGGGAGGGGGCGAGGAAGGGTACACAAGCCCTCCCAGGGAGGAGGGGCTGCTCTGCCTGGCCCAGGGTGGGGGCTGGCCCCTCCCCAGGGTTGGGGGGAAGGGCACTCCCGCCTAGATGATGGAAGCAGCTGGGGGGTAGGGGGAAATAAAAGGGATGTGAATTGAAAGTGAAACAGCTCACGTCCAGGAAATACTCCCCGTGTCAAGAGTTCACAGCGAAGATTGGAGCTGCAGCCAGGGCTGGGGACAGGAGAGCAAGTGTGTGGTGGGGGGTACCTGTGTGAGGCAGGCTGGGGGGCTGTGAAGAAGGCTGTGACTCTTGAGGGCTCCTCAGTTCACTGCAAGGCAGGAATGGAAGGCATGGGCCACACGCAACCAGGAAAAGGTACCCTCTGAGATTCACAAACCAGAAAATAAATCTTAAGTGAGAGTTGAGTATATGGACACATAGAAATTCAGATAACCAACCTGACGGACTAGCTATGTGGCCTTGGGTACTAACCTCTTTGTGCCTCACTTTTCCCACCTGTGAAATGGGTATAATGGTGCTTCTCTTGCTGAGCTAATGTGCATTTTCCACACCCTGTGGGGGTGCTCATACATGGTAGAAGTATACGATAGGAACTCAGGAAATACTTGCAGCTAATAGGCCTGAGTTGGAAAACAGGTGTGCTCTGACCAGCCAAGGGGAAGTGGGACCTTCGAGGGTGACCTTCATGGGTCATTGGCTGGAAAGTGGCAAGCTTGCGGTAAGCATGTGCTGGGCAAGGGGCAGGAGGGCCCAGGAGCCGCAGAAAGAACCCCCAACCTGTGAAACTAGCCTCACTTCCCAGGAGTGAGGTGAAGTGTGACCTGAGACTCACTAGGGCAGTGCTATGACCACCCCTCCCGGGGCCCTAGGTGCCAGGATGCCGACCCCTGGCTGTGACTCTTGGCTGCCTTGCTTTTTCTCATCCCCAGACCGCCCTGAAGAGTTGCCAGTGAAATGCTCAATAAGTTACGATTCCACAGCAGACTCCACAGATCCAAGGTGGTGGAATAGGAGTGGCTGAAGCTAGGACTGTGGGGTCTTCTGGGGAGTGGGGCCCCCCTCACTCTCATCCATGGCCCTTGCTTGTCCTCATTTCTGCTTTTTCTAACCCATCCCCACAGGCTAACACTGCCCTCCACCGGGACCTGAAAAATGGCGTCTGGGCAAGGACCAGGCCCTCCCAGGCAGGAGTGTGAAGAGCCTGCTTCCTCCTCCACTTCGGGTAAGGGTCTTTCTGCCCTCTCACCCATCGCATAACCAGCAGGGCTGTCTGTGAGGATGGAGAGAACAGAAGTGGACAGGGCCGGGCAGGACTCAGGGGCAGGCTCTCGTCTCAGTTTACTCACCTTGGATAAAGGAGAAAATACCTTCCCACCCAACGCAGGTGGCCCATCGGGCTTAGAAGCTAGAGCAAATCCCTGGGGGTGGGGAAGAGTCTGGGGCTGGCAGATGCTAGCGGGTAAGCGGGAGGTGGGCCAGTGCCATCCCAGGGCAGAGGGGCGGGATGGGGTGAGAGGGAAAGAAGACTGGGGCGTGGCTCGCCTATTCCTGCAGTAGGAGAAATAAGGAAGTAAGCCGGCTTATCACCCAGTCAGGTCTGCTCAACAGGGAAAACTGTGCTACGGCTTTGGCGAGGAAGTAAGATGGCTGCCCTTCCTCCCTCTCCTAACGGGATCATCAGGGAAGCCTGCAGCTCACAGCCCACTACAGGCTGTTCCCTGGACTTTGAGTGCAATCCTAGGTCTGTCACTATTTCCCTATGTGGCTTTTATGGCCCCACATTCCCTAAGCCATGAGAGCTGGGTCCCTTGTAGATGCTAAAACAAACTCGGGGCCCCAGATGCCTGGGATTATGTCTTGGCTCCACTGCTCATTCCAGCTGTATGACCTTGTGCAAGTTACATAACCCCCCTGTGGCTCAGTACCCCATCTGTAAAGTGGGGGTCACCTACTTCACAAGGCTGTTGCGAGGATTAAATGGAAAGTGCCAGAAGACCACTCTGCACAGAGCGAGCACTAGGGGTCAGCTAAGGGCTGGAGTACAGGGGTGAGGACAGCTATGGCCTTGAGGAAGAGGAAGCACCCCAAAGCATGGGGCCACCAGGTCCAGCTCTTCTTCCCTGACTCCTGGCTTTGATCCTCAGAGGAGCAGGTAGCCCAGGACACAGAGGAAGTTTTCCGCAGCTACGTTTTTTACCGCCATCAGCAGGAGCAGGAGGCTGATGGGGCGGCTGTACCTGCTGACCCGGAAATAGCTGCCATGTACCTAGAACCTGCCAGGTGAGCAGCACCCTACTGGGCCCACAGAGATATCTTCAGGGAGGTGGAGGCTCACACAGAGTCACTGTTCAGGTCCTAGGAGCTGGGGAGGTCTGAGAGGTCTTGTCCTCTCATTGTTGACCCTCTTTCCTCTTGGGCTCCCACCCCCACGGGGGACCTTGTCCCTGGGCCCAGCCCTCGTGTCTGAGAACACAGGACTTCCGAGGATGGGGTGCCAAGGCCAGGGGCATTTCAGACAGGACCCCTTCACTGTGAGCCCAGGCCCCGGCCCTGAATGCCGTGTCTCTCACCTGCTGCCCCCCGTCCCCCCAGCACCATGGCGCAGGTGGGACAGAGGCTTGCCATCATCGGGGACGACATCAACCAGCGCTATGATGAGGAGTTCCAGACCATGTTGCAGCACCTGCAGCCAACAGTAGAGAATGCCTATCAGTATTTCACCAAGATCGCCTCCAGGTAGCCCCGGCCACTGCCTCTCTGCTGTGCTGTCACACCACGCTCTGCCCTGCCCGTGAGATGGGAGACACACGCTTCTCTGCCAGTGTCAGGACACACGTTTGCTGTCCCCATGTCTGCTGTTAATTTTTACATGTGGCCTTGGGCCCGTGTCTTGCTCTCTCTCTGGGTTCCAGACCCCACATCTCTGGTGCGTAAACTTACAACTCTTGTGAGTTCTGGCACTGAGGACTTGACCATTTAGATCAGGACTGCAGAGGGGCCCGGGGTGGGGGTGTCCCCAGAGCCCCCCAGCACAGCTAGGACACAGCTGTCCTTCCAATTTGGAACCACATTTCACACCAAAGATGGTAAGGTTGCTACCCTCTACCAGGACCTAGAAATGGCTTCCAGGTGCTATGATCACATCGAGAGGCAATCTGGCTTGGTGGTTAGAGACCAAACGCCTGGGTCACATCTCAGCTTTACCTTTTACTGGCTTTGTGAAACTTTCTAGATGTCTGTCTCCTTGACCATAAAATAGGGAAAATCTGCTTAGAACAGAGTCCACACTTACACGGTGTTATCCATCTGGGTCAGAGAGGTCTGTTTTGGCAGATTTCAAGCGGGGGGTGGGGTGGGGGTGTTGAAGGCAGGAGGAGGCAAGTAGGCAATAGATTTAGATGGTACTCAGAGCTGGAATGTTCTGCCCGGGTCCTTAGAGGCCATGCCCTACCCCGCTGTGATTCCAGGACTTATCCTAACCTCCTCTTTGTCCTTTTCTCTCTGCTACACCTCGGGCTGCCAGGCCAGCAGCAATGTCCACAGGTAATCTCCCTGCTGCCTCCGTCTGCTCGCTCTGCCCTGCACCCTCTGTGCTTTTTGCACCCACAGTATCGGGGCCACATAGCAGCAGCAGCAACCCACTTCCATGCCCTCTGAGCTTTCTTCTTTCACAGAGATGCAGACTCTTTCCAAATACAGGCCAGGCTGGGGCAGCCTCTGTCACCTAGATTCACAGCTAAGCCATTTTGCTTTCGAGTTGCGAGGGGTGGGGGACAAGGGGATGGGAGGGGAGAAGCAGGCTGAAGGGCCTCCTTGGGGTCTTCCACTGATGGCGTTCATGCTCTACCCACAGCCTGTTTGAGAGTGGCATCAACTGGGGCCGAGTGGTGGCGCTACTGGGCTTTGGCTACCGCCTGGCCCTACACGTCTACCAACGCGGCCTGACTGGCTTCCTGGGCCAGGTGACCCGCTTCGTGGCTGACTTCATGCTGCATCACTGCATTGCCCGATGGATTGCACAGAGAGGCGGCTGGGTGAGTGCCCAGCACGAGCACCCTCCTTCCTGCTGCTGGGATGGCCCCTCCCAGCCCCACCCCAGTCCCCTGGTGCCCATATACCCTGCCAGACCCTCTGTGACCACTGTTCTCTTGGCAGGTGGCAGCCCTGGACTTGGGCAACGGCCCCATCCGGAACGTGCTGATAGTTTTGGCTGTGGTTCTATTGGGCCAGTATGTGGTACGAAGATTCTTCAAGTCATGACCCCTGGAGGGGCCCTTTGGGGTCCCAGCTGAGACCCCTGCCTGGACTTCAGCCAAGCCTTCTCCCTTCACTCCCGTCCCGCAGGGGTTCCCCCCCACCCCACCAAGAGTACAGAAGCTTTAGCAAGTGGGCACTCCAGCTTTGAAAGGCCCCTGCCTAGGGGTCAGTCAGGCTGCAGGGGTGCCCCAACATTGCATGGTGCTAATGGGCCCCACCTCTGGGCTTAGCTCTGTCTGCTGGGCACTGGGGAGATTGATTACTTGGGAGCAAGAGGCTGGAAGTAGCTTCTCCCAAAGAAGTTTTTTAACAGTTTTAGCTTTTTTATAATACCCTTGGGAGGACCCCCCCCCACCCCCACATTCCCACCACTCTGCCCAAAGCCAGGACGTCTGGGATGGGGGGTTAGTAGGCCTTCCTTGTGTTCCCCACAATTCAGCTGTTCTGAAAGTTCAGAACTTGCGAGCTGGGCCTGGAGCCCAGTGCTTGCCCTTCCTAAGCTTCATGTCCCCCAGGAACAGGACTGGCTGGGGGTGGGGGACAAGGACCTGCTCAGCTGTCCCCTGCAGCTATTCCCCCCACCCTACGTTGCCTTGGCTGTTGGACTCTCAGGGATTCTGGGCCTGGGGTGTGAGGAGAGGGTACAGACCAGAGCTGTCTGAATTTCTCCATCAGGTTCCAAACTTGCCTCCTGAGATCCTCAGTTCTCTCCCCTCACCCATTACCACTTGCTCCCAACCTATTCACCACCACTAGTGAAGGCTGCCCGCTCTCATCACTCCATGTAAGGAAGGCAGAGGCCTTGGGTGAGCGGAGTGCTGAGGCCCCCTCCTTGTGCACATCAGGGTTTGTTCTTGTCAGGGAAAGAGGGTAGGGAGCTCATCTTGAGGTTTCTGAGAGAGAGAAGGGTTATTAACCACTAGGAACCCCAGGGTTGCTATCCTCCCTCATGGCCTGGGTACAGTGTAATCTGGGGTATGGATGGGGGAACTGTGAATACTTGAACCTACCCCTCTACCCCCCACACACACCCTCCTCATCTGCCTAAACTCCTCCTTTGGGTGGGGGTGGGAGAGCCTTGTCTGTCTTGCACAGCCTAGGGATTTGGGGAAAGAAATTGTTAAGCCAAATGCCGGGAGGGGATGCAGATGGAGCCCACTGGCCACCCCCACCCTCTGAGTGTGTCTGAAAATAAACTCCTTTCCCACTCCTGCTCGATAATTTTTGTTATCTACGCCTCTTACCATTAGGATGGACTGGGGGAACCTGGGCCTGCCTGGCATTCACCTGGTTTATTACTAAGGTCTCATCTTGGGCTTCCAGAATCCTGCAGAGGGCTGGGTGTGATTCTGCAGCCTCTAGAAGACCTTGGCCCCTCCCCACCTCTCTCTAGCTCTTTTTCCTAGCACTTCCCTCATCTCTGAATTCTGGGCAAGTTTTCCACCCCCTTAGGAAGTCGAGGGACCCCAAACTGTTGGGTTCTGAGTACAGAGGTGGTAGAGCAGCTGCACATGTCTGGGGAACCCCACAGGCCACCTCAGTCCTGGTGTGAATTCTCCCTTCCTGGGGCCACCACCAGGCTGGCCAAAAACCCTTTTACCCTCTGCTGAGCTCCTGCCTGAGACACGATGTCCCCCACAGCTAGCACACACATTGGGCGTTTCATTCTAGGGCTTTTGTGCTGATGGGGGAGTCCCTATGGGGACACTACAAGGGGTGATAAAAATAACAAGCATGGAGGCATTTAAATGTTCCACCATCTACAAAGTGTCTCCAGCCCTGGGCGCCCTGGTCTGTTTCTGACGCCCTTCCAAAATGGCCCCACGCAAGTCCTAAAGTACAAGGGCTTTAACTTCGGGGAGTTGAATGCCAGTCCCCTGCCCCTCCAACTTGGCCTTCAAAGAGTCCACAGACAGACGCAATCATGGAGGGGGGAACCTGCAGCAGTGGTGGCTACAAAGCACCCACAATCTCCTGCATGAAAAGCTCATAGATTATGGAACACTGTCCTGGCTTCAAGCTAAGAATTTATCATCCATGCTCAATCAGTAGGTATTATAGCTGGTGACAAGGCGGGGGCTCAAACTCTTACAGATAAGGAAACTGAGGTTCCTGGTAGGAAAGGGCAGGGAGCTGGCACTTGCCACGAGGATACTGGCTCGAGGTTTTGCACGGAGGCCGGAGCGGCGGGAGCTGGGGCCGTTGGTCTTGGAGCACAGGCCCGCCGGGGGGTTGCGTGGGGAGGGGAGGTGTCCGGTCTCCTCCCTCCGCCCCACCGCCTGTGGCCCGGGGCGGGTGCCCTCCCCGGGTCCAAGATGGCCGCCGCCACCTGGAGGGCGCAGGCGTGTGCCGCCCACACACTGGAAGGCGGGCCCCCCCCCTCCCCGGCGCCTCACCCTCCCTTCCCTCGGGGCTTGGAGAACAATGAGAGGCCTTCCTGGGAGAACAGATGCGTCTAAGGCTGGAAGAAAGGCGGGTGGGCAGGGGCAGGGGCAGTGGCCTCTCCAGCCCTGTAAGACCGGGATTGGAAAGCTGTCCTGAAAGGCACGGGGAGTCCCAGAAGGTCTTGGCCAGTGTCTAGCCCGGCCCCTTTCACTCCACCCTCTACTGGGCTACCAGGACAAAGTTTCCAAAACCGAAATCTGAGCGTTGTGGAGATGCTGAAACCAGCACAGGAGAAGCTAGGAGGAACAGAACAAGGCAGGGGCTGTGGGGGTATAGGGGAGCAGATTGGTTCTGCAGGTATTAAGGAAGCTAAATTCTCAAAGTGTCCTCAAAATTTGTGGTTCTTCTGAAATTGTAGCTTCATTTCCTCCAAAGAGCTCCAGATTCCTGTCTGTGGTGCCACTGAGATGGGGCAGGTCAGCCAGGGGAACCGAGCATGTTCCGGTGTCACCTGCTCAGTTGTGCAGTGTCAGTATAAACACCTGCCCTGCCTTTCCCCCCTCCCCCCACCTCCCCGCCCCCACCCTGCACCACCTGCACGTTTGCTGGTTTACTTCCTCTGAAGAAAGTGTATTTTAGGTCACTAGGTGTCCATCCAAACCCTATTGTTGGAGAAAATTCTCTTTTGCCCAAACCACTCAGTAAATTGTTTGAACAACTGTTTATTACCTAACCATCTGAATAACATTAAAATAAATTAAAATTATTTCATTAGGTAATGAAATTAAATGAAACCACCATAACCTGCTCCAGATGTACACACTTCCTATGTAAAGGTCTCTGATCGAAGATACTTGTAAAATATATTTAGTTCGATCTAAGCAGAACAGATGTTCATAATCCTGTGAGTGTTGGGGGAGAAGGGGACAGAGCAAGACAGAGAGAATGGAGTTACCAGACTTTGCTGGAGGTCAGGGATAGGAAAAACAGCAAAACCCAGCTTCTGGGGCATGTTCACCATGCTGGACATGTTAAAAAGGTAAACACCCAACTACTGGAATATAAAAGATGGGCGGGGGGGAGGGGGCGATTCTGCCCACCAAATAATAAGAGGACAGAAAATAGTGATCTGGCCTATTGAGCACATGACTGGAAGCAGGTCCCCAGCAAATTGTATGAATGATTCAGTAGAGGGGCAGCCTCAAAGACCAAAATCAGGTGAAGGACCAATGAGGGCAGACTGTGACTTTTCTGAAAAAGCCTCTTAATAACTGAAGGGAGTAAAGCCACAGAATCTCCCTACACCTAGGAGTGTGGGATTTGGCATCGGACGCAGGCAGGCACCAAATGGATGCCAAAGAGGGTGTGTATGTGTGTGGCATCTGGAGAGTAACATTTGAGTGGGCATCGATTGTTGAAATCAACATGTAATTAATATTACTTCTCAGCTCCACTCACCTCAATTCTTCCTGTGCAATGTTGGGATCATTTCTGGTGCCCAGCACCTCAACTTTTCCCAACACTGGCTAAGAACACATCATGAAGACAGTTCTTCAAAATTGTCTTCTCCATTGCATCATGCAGTACCTATTTTGCAGAGTTCACGGCACAGACTTTTGTGATGATTGGATGCATTGAAGCTGGGCTCACCAACTTACTCAAGTTTTGACTTGACTGACACCTCTCTGACCAGACCTCTGACCCTACTGAGAGCAACTTGTCCAATTCATTTCCTGCAGATGGTTATGCTGATTCAAGAGTGGTAACATTTTCTTGCTAAAGGAGGACCACACCAGGGAAAGGCAGGGTACATTTGGCATGTCTGGCATCTCTGAACTGTGGATGGAAATCAGAGTGCAAGGGAGATGCTGGGTTGGAGTTTAGAGATGTGGTTCCCGTGTCTGCTGAAAAAGAATGAGGTTTCCAGGAACCTAAATAACACTGCTGCCAGGCTGTGAGAAGGGATGTGTGCTGGCTAAAAGCCAAGCGCCGTCCTGGTTAGGGGGTGGGGAAATGCCCCTGGTTGTGATGTATAGTGTCACAGACAAGAGTGTCTTCACATGACTTTGGACTTTCATTCTGCCTGAACACTGGGCTAGCTAGGAGTCAAAACCCCCTTCTTTCTCTGGGTGAGATGGGCCACACTCAAACTCTGCTTACCTCTAGATGGGGGGCTATTCCAAGTATCCTGTGGCCCCCTCCTTGGCCAGCTGGGGACATAGTAATATTCACAGATCTGAGGTGTGTGGTGTTGACATCCTCAGAC